TTTGGAATGCAAATTCACGTATTAAATGAAATGAATAGAAAAATCATTTTTCTCAGGCTGTCACTATGAGATGTGCGAGTGTGCGTGCACAATACTCATTTATTCATAATTGAACGATGTATCAAAGGTGGTCGTTTGAATGTGGCCATCTGAATGGTGAATTTGCTTGTGAATTGATGCCGGCTACAACTATTGACACCGATTGACACGCCCACGAATTTTGTAGCTGCCATAATAGCTCCCTTAAATTGAAAATTCCAATGTGTATTTCAACATAGTTTTACGAGGAGATAGAATTCACTTCCCTCTTGAACATATAAGCTAAGGAGGAACCACTTGCAAACCAAGTGACCAATTCACTAAACTAGTACATGAAATGATGAATAATCCTAGAAGCAAATATTTTTATTTTAGGCATTTGCGTTAGATTGCTTTTGGCACACTGCATGTCTATTTATAAAGAAACGTCAGACAGAGGTTTATCCCAAAAAATGTACGAAATAGTTTCCCGCGTGCAATAACCCTAAATGAAGCAAAATAAAATGAAAAATCGGGCTTTTCCCACCTCAGACTGACAGTATTACTAACCGACCATACAGTGTTTGACAAACAAAGCAGGGTAAAATGAATTTTCGCATTGATTTCACGAATGAATGTGTACGAATTTTCGGATTGTGCTGTCAAGAGTGTTACACTGGCAAGTTACAAATGAGTTGCGAACAGCGTATCGTCATGGGTGTTGTGTAAAGATGAATCTGTGCGTACGAATGTGCGAGTGTATGTATGTATGTATGTATGTATGTATGTATGTATGTATGTATGTATGTATGTATGTCAGTTGTATGTATGTATGTATGTATGTATGTATGTATGTATGTATGTATGTATGTATGTATGTGCATGTATGTATATGTTTAGGTGTACGTAAAGACGTGTGCGCAGTGGTGGTGGTGGTGGTGTGGTGAGGGTTGAGAGAAAATATAAAGATCCGGCAGTTTGGAACGTTGGATTGCTTCGAATCGATCGATGACAACCAACCTGAAATTACAATATAAGGAAAGGTAAAACCCCTTGAAACTGGTCAAGTGGATTCATTTAAATCAATGCCGTAAGAGAATACAGAATGCAATCTTTTAGGTTTAATCATATGCAAGATATATATATATAGTTTTATTTACTATAATTTTCTGCGTTATCATAGTTAAATTTAGGTAGAGTTCATTTATTATTTTTGAGCCGAGGTGAGGAATGCAGTTAAGTACATATAAGTACTCGGAAACAAGCACTTAATCATCATTGTATCCATTGAAATCGAAGGGGGAGAGTGAAATACCAATAAAGAATATGAAGAAAAAACGATTTTCAGAGAGCAACGCACACAACAGCACCTGTATATTTCTTGTGTTTCATTTTACAGTTTTTGGCGCTTTTTGTCTACTCTGTATTTGCACAAAGAACACAAGACTGCAAGCGAGCACGACTTGATTCCGGAATCATTTCACTGCATCCGAGCTGGTACTTAATGCAGACTAGAAAACAGTTGATATACCACAGCAATCAAGTTCCAAAAGTGGCTACTGTGTGTTTGATGAGTCTATCTCGGGCATCGTATCCTAACAATCAAGCCATAAAGCATGCCCACTACTGACTTACGTTCCATAAACCAACGTTTCTAATCAACGATAATCCGCATCCCATGGTCCTCAATTTGCAAGGTGAAAAGCACTAACCGGATCCAATACCGATACTAACTTCTCCATTTCCGTACGATAAGTCACAATCTGGATGCCTTGCTTAGCACACGCGAAATGCGCACGGACGAGTAAAAGATTGGTAGATATTCGCTGAACATGTGCGATCCATTAGAGTTGTTATAGAGTGGTTACTCGTTCAACTGAAGACTGTCAGCTCCCAATACATGACGACGAACTTCGTCAATACTCACCCAGTATTCATCTTTAGAGAGGAGTAATGCTTCAACGATATCGGTAGTCATATACGGAAGGTCTATTGGCATCTTCACCTCGTAGAGACCAGGTTTCACAATCATAAAGCAAAGGTAAAACACTACAAGCCGCCATCATGTGCACCTTCTCTCGAGGGGAAATGGTACTTCAAGGTAACGACACAGATATCGCAGGTGAGCAAAATTTACCATAGTCTTTGCTATTCCTAACATCACTATCTGTTATCAAGCCCTTGAGTTACTTAAATACTTTAACCGTCTGTCCTGATCACCACAAGAGTTGAGTCCACGCACAGGATCGTGCTGACCTTGTGTAAGAAGGATGCAATTGGATCGTGTAAAACCAATACTGTAACCGGCTGCCCCGATTGTTCAGCGTTTCAAAACGTGCCTGTATACTGTTGCCCAGCATGGTGGTGTTGTCGGTGAAGTTCACGTCAATCGCTGCGTTCCCTGAGCCTAGTTCATCGGTTGTTGTATCGAATAAACTATTTTTCGCAATCTTCTCTATGACCAAGCACTACCGAACTGCTGCCTTTACTAGAAATAGCAAAGGATGGTGAAGGTTAACCTTAGCCACCAAGTCGAGGTGAGTTTTTACGATACAAATTATACATTCGAGGTACCGTATTTATCAAACGACAATTCCATAGTGCGTTTCTATTGATGGACTCGATGATCACGAGTGTGTAGATGACCAAAATGATTTTGGTTATAAGGAAAGCATAATCTTCAGCAACTGTGGGCTAGTGAAAGTTTGATGGATGCATCCACAACTGGTTCAAAATTCAACCTGCCCTTCACGGTTCTATCTTCACAACCCACGAAGAATGATGGACGTCTACAAACCTAACTCTATTAAGGTTGGTTGAAGCAGTGATTAATTCGGTCATTCCTAAAGCTGAGGAAGTAAATCTATTCTTTCACAAGAGGCAGACCTACTTGTCGTTCCAAACCTCCGAAAACTTAACTTACAGTTTTACTTCATCATCTTTGATTAGAGATAGGGGAAAGCTATTGAAGTCCTAAACCTTGTGGCGTCCTCGGGATGAGGGTTATCTAGGAATACTCACCTCAGAAGTTGTTTCTGGCGAAACCGACCGCCAGATATAGACTGGAGTCGCTATCAGAGAAACTGAGGTAGAAGGTTAACTGAACTTTGTCATAACATATTCTGTTCAGCGTGCAAGATGTAACCGTTGGTTCTGAAGACATGAACCACCAGCTTCCAGATCATTTGTTCCCGCCTGTAACCCGGATTGGATGCGAATGTTCGCACTAATCTACAACAGCGACAGTATATTCCATCACTGACGCAATTTGAGATCACCAGATTTCGCAATCCCCATGAGCTTTTGCGTTGTCTTCACCTCTTTTTACCGGTCATTTATCGTTTTGCCCTGCTTTCAGTTGGGATTCACCAGAGTGCACTATGAATGTGCATGGACTCAGCGGGAATGTGAGGTTTTACGACAAGTTCTATGAAGACACAGATCGCTAGACCAGCAGAACGCAGAGCAACATTTACAAGAAACCGGTGCTCATTGAAGTTACCAGTTGAGGTTAGTTCTAGCTTTTAGGATCATGCGTTTTCAAAGACGTGTAAGTGAGCTGTTTGTGGCAGCCATTTACTATCCGTCCGTTATTTTTTGTTCGCTTGGGGCACTCACTGAAAAGCTTGGGCAAACTGGTGTGAGCTAGTGCGTTGTCCATTTCGAGTGAGGGGNCTTGTATACTACCCTGCCATTTTTGACCTATGGCAATCTGATAGATCAACCGTTAACCCGAAGACGGGACAGTCTGAAGTTTGTAACAACTAAAAATGAGTAATGGCTAGAGCATAGAGTCCACATCCATTTCCTGTGTTCTAAGTGACAGGAATCTAGCCCATAAAGGCCCCACAGATGCAACTCGTTCGGGGACAACCGTTTTAGTCAGTCATTTAAATCTTCTGCTAAAATCGTGATATCAGCACAATTTGCAAGATATCATACAGTCATCTTCATCTGGGCCTACATATAATTTGCTTCCAACAGGGCGATGCGCGTTTAGATTGCCCGAACTCTCAAGACTCGCAGTGCACATCCGATTGCTGACTGGGATCGAATTTGACAGTGCGATTTAACCCCTGCCACAACGAGCCACGAGAATGTCAGCTTCAGGGTCATCAGATGGGTTTAATTGTAACTTTAGGGAAGGGTCGTAAAAGGCGTAGACACGTGTTGTCCTATGCGCAATGATGTTTGCACGTTAAAATATGGTTATTTTGGGGAGCATTGACGGCAAAGAAGAGTGTGAATTGACAGAAGAGAATTTAGTGAGACGTAAATGGTAGTCGAGGTAGGACTCGACAGAACAAGGATGCAAATTTTCATTCTAGGTAGTACTGTTAGTATAATCGATCGGATTTTCTGATGAATGTGGGTGTGGAAAAACAATAGAGGTAAAATGATGGGTTTTCGGGAAACCAGGTTTGTACAACAGAATTGTTGATGGCCACACAGAGTTGTCAATAATTCAGGTCGAATAATGAAACACCTCCGATAGGTTGGAGCCTTGTGGGCTGTTGTACAACCCATTTGGCCGTTCCAGAGTAGGATTTGTTTGAACGTACATTTCCAGCCTTCGCGCAGCTGTGTGAGCTTTAAGGTTGCATTGTTTCCTCAGAAAAGAAACGGTTCATGAGCCTCTTCCAAAGGACCTTTTCACGCAAAGAGCAGCTAATATTATTAGTGGTGGACCACGTTTACTGCCTCCTGACGCATTCTATGAACAAATGTGATGTTTTGTGCATGATAAGGTGTAAAGTCATCACGTTTCCGAGCACTGGCAATGTTCCCTTCTGATTGAAATGAGCAAACCTTCGATGAAACCAGCCCCATATATGGTGTACAACTCTCAGTGAACTTCAAGCACAATCTCAGTCTATTCTACTCACTTTTATGAAATATCGCCAGCTCAATGTTTTTGGTAGATGGTTACAAGTTTTGCGAATAAAGTATTTGATTATCACAGTGATTTGCGCCTGGGATCAATGGGACAAAGTAAGTAGTTGAAAATAACTTCAAGCGTTGGCAAATCATCTTGATTTTATATGAACCTTATCAGGTATCCGCCTGCAACTGAGATTTTCTAATCGGCTTGCTGCTGCAGTTCCTGCTAAGCGAAGCATATAGTAGTACTCACCTTGATTGTTCACCTTATAATCACATTTAAATCTTGCTTTGATCCGTGTCAGTCATTCCGAAGTTTTGGAGAAAAATGTGATTACATTGTGTATCATCGGAAAATAACTTTTCAACTTTTCAACTATTGCGGATGAACTAACTGATTCCGTAGTGAAATGCTGTTCACTTCACGTGACCAGAATAGGTCATACGCTTGCTAATCTGCATTTCATTTGAATCATTTAAGTCATGTGTTTGATGCTTGAAATTCCTTCAGGATTTATTGACTTACTGAACCGTATGATATCAAATGACTTTGAATACACCCTAGCAGTTGGTTTTTGTTATGATTTGAGCCTCCGATGATAGCGCCAATCATGTATACCACTTGGTTTTGAAATTCCGTATAGAAATGAATGCTATCATCTTCATGGTCGCAGAATATTTATGTACTGAAGATACAGTATTCGACAGTTGCAGATTAATATTATGGACTATAAAACAGATATTGTAGTCATCACTCCTTAGACCAAAACATCGATAGCATAAGTGGTATTATAGGTGAAAAAGAAGTCATAGGGTCTCGTTTCAGGTGCATTCGTTCAATTTCTTCACAGCAGGGAAGTTTTCTGATTTGAGGTTGATGAATTAATTTGAGAGAGAGCGTATTATGATCGATCCTCAAGGTTCTTTCCTATCCCCGAAACTGGTTTGAGAGGGTTAGTCTTCATTGCAGAATTTAGTCAGCCGATTTGATCAACGATATGTGAATTAAGCCTTAGGGTTGCATAGAGCTAATAATAAACTGCCAAAAGCACCAACTTCCATCAGCCATTTAGAAGTTTTATCTTCGCATGTAGTTCTATAAGAACATTAGTCAGAATACCTCCTCGAACTATTATAGATTAGTTTTCCGGGTTCTCATAATAATTGGTTTAGGATGAGGCCCCTTTTAATAGGCCGCCGGAGAACTTCCGCAAATCGGTTTTTTAATACACTGTTGTCAGATATCTCATTAATTACGTCCGATTTTCAAAAAGTATCGGCCTTTTATTGTAACACGACTTTGGTTGCCCGATGGGTACCACATTTCATAGACTTGAGTGTATTTAACCAAAATAGCATTCTGCATGACCATATGTTGTGCACGACAGGGAGAGGATAGAATGTAGTCATAGTGCTCAGCGCTTAATTTATCTTGGTTCGATGGATGTGGTAAACATTGCTGCACGCCTACGGCGAAATTTATGATAAAGTACCGAATTGATGCACAGCTTGTAAATGCAGATAGAAGGGATGCCTTGAAAACTGAAAAGAATCAATGCACCCGGATGCCCATAGAGGGAGAATCTGGGAGTGAGTATAGAAGAACAAATCTGGTAAACTGAAAACGGGAAACAAACTTCAAGTATTGTGACACTTGCACAGGAATTCCAAATTTTTATCGGTGGAAATATGAACTATTACTCTCTGGGTGGCCTCCCTCCTCTGAAAAGTTGGACTATGGGAGTGGAAATCAGGAACATATGAGATGTCACTGTGTACTCTGACAACTAGGTGAAGCATTTTAAAGGATATCCAAGGAACATCTCACTCATCCTTTACAGCCCGAATAAACAGTTGGGAAAGTTACCATGAACTGGAAATCGTGCATTCATTACCTGCCACACGCTCATCGACATTTGGCCTTCGTGGTTGAAATCCACACAATAAGGGACATAAAAGTGCCAGTATCTGGTTCCAGGCAGCAAAATAACCCCAGTGGTCTCGCGTGATCGTGCCGTTTAAGAGGATGGAACCTCATTAAACCGTGAACCAATTAGTATATAAACATGGGAAATGGGGTAACAGTAATCATACGCAACACGGGAATTCAGGCAAACTGAATCAAGGCAACCGAGAAATCGATCTGGTTGTAACTCTCACAATGCGACTGAATGTTCAAACACTGGTTCTCGTTGTGCTAAGTCTGAGCACATTCCAACCAGACCGTGTCGGTGCGTCATACTGTCGCGGTTGTCCAGACGTGTTCGATCATTTTCTCGGTAAAGCGTTTGGCTAGGCATGTCCAGGTAAGCCAATACTACCAACACTGCCACCAACATTGCCACAAACATTGCCACCAACACTGCTACCTACGAAGCCCCCGCAAGTCAATGTGGTTTTCGAAGCGACAGCGCAACTCAAACAATGGCTTCTTGATAGTATGATCAAATCCATTTGCACCGTGTCCAACAACCTATTCGTCGTGTTCATCACTTCGGTTAGCTCGTCCCAGAGCAGCTACACAAGTGGTCCACATCGATCCGCGTGAGTACACTCGATGGAATTCGACTTTATTCAATCCATTCGGAGAGCCGATTTTCCAGGATGAAACTGTCTATTTGATGTTCAACAATAACCGATTGCCCATAGCTACAGATTTGGGAACACTGAATTTAAGTTCCCTGCCCAGACTCACTACCTTCATTCCTTTAGTCGATTTGAAGGACACAATTAATACGATATATGAAAATTGGATCAAGTACACTGTCAAGGCGAATTCCACTTCGAACGAGCCCATTTTGTGTTTGCGTTTAGATTCGTTACACTATTTGATGCGATTCATTGGATTACTTTGATGCGTATAGAACAGCTGGAAGAAAGTATGCGGTTCAAATTACAAACTGGTATTTAGGATACTTTTTCATACGAAGTGTTTTCTGTAATGATTGTCACAATTTTTCTGATTTTTTACTAACTGTTCGTTCCGGTTATGATTTAGAATAAATATATTCATTTTACTTAACAAACGTAGATAACTTTTCAGATTTTCTTTGTGTTCGCGCACTCACTAGCGAAAACATGTTTCGAGGTCTGATGATTCCGTTACCATTAAATGGTAGGAGCGAATATTGCACACATGAGCTTGATTCCGAATAGCTATTGCGTGTCCCAGGTATTAAAAACAGAATTTCATATTTCATTTGGTATTAGAACACATCCGGATTGATACCATGTGATTGATTACAGCAACATTGCGTTTGATGCCACAAATACCACATATACGGATCGAACATCATCTTTCACAGACCCAATTGCAAGCATATGCTCTTTGACAGTAAAACCAATCTTTTCAAAGTGTAGCCCAGCAGTGACAGTGACTTGTGTCGGCCAAAACACAAGGTGACGCATTAATCTATTCTCAACAACTGTTGGATAAGGCAGTTTTACTTGGATGTTCATCCCTTCTGCTCCTTAGACATCGCTCACTTAGCGATTCAACGCTCGATGCACATTATCTTTGTAGTGGATCACGAAGACTAAATCGGAAGATAACTGAAACGTATCTCAGGGTAATCGACAGTTCCCAGGAATGTGAGCATTCATTAAATTATACATCGTGAACAGGAATTCCGGATTACTGTGAAAGTTCCAGTAACTGAATCCAGCATCTTTACTAATTATGAAGTTGAACACCAATATCGCTTATACAAAAGTCATCACCAGCAATGGTATTAACGACTTAAAGTACCTGAGTGCTACCAGACACTATCTGCCTAACGATTCTAATGACCTGTGAAAAGCCTGGATGGATGACGCATGCACACCTAAGTTAAAAAGTGGACAACTTTTATAAAAGAAATGCCTATAGACTATCTTGGACACAGGATCAAGTTGTGTTTTCTGTTTGTGTGTCAGGTTAGGATCACCGCAATAACCTTCGATCAGGTGCCTTTGCTGTCTACATTCAGAGCGACAGGTTGGAACATAACTTTAACTTTAGACACACAGGCATTGTTCCAGCTTCTGCCCTTCTGTCGAGGAAGGATTCTCAAACAGGCTGCTGGTTCTGCCATCGGCCGGGGTACTGCCATCACCTATATGCTGTAGTTTTATGGAGTGCTCCGATTTCTGTTCAAAATTCAGTTACTAGCAGTATCTTTCGTCATATTATGGAAAAACTATCACACAAGATTGTAACTGATGCGCAAAAGTCGCTGTTTGAACCCGAAAAATTGATTCCGAGACCCACTTCACAATGTTAGAAAATTATGACATCCATAACAAGTACTAACTAGTGCAATGTGGTAATCCGGGCCTACGAGATGACGAGTACCCTAAAGCGACATGTTACAGCTTTTGAACAACTGCGATCAAGCACACCTCACATGTGACGTCAAAAACGCGCGTACGTGTCACTGCTTCTGACTACATATTATAGGTAGATCGTACCAGCCAATCGGAGACCGTGCAGCCCAGACAGAAGCAGAAAGGTGCCAGGAATGCTGGAACGCGATTGGTAGAAGCCCGGATAACCAATAAGCCTATTTTGTAGATAATTTTTAATCCCCTTTATTTCTTCCAATAAACGAACTACCATTCTCGAGGTCTTTTTCCTCGCGTCCCAGTTACGTGGGATAGTGCATGCTAGTGTCAATGCGGTCTAGTGCTTACATGATCCAGTTCGTGATTGCTAATCCTTGATTCGTATTCCGTGATCCGTATTGCGTAGTTTTTGTTCCGAATTCAGCGCGCATTACTATTACCATTACTACAATGACTACATACAATCTGCAGGAACATTACCCATTGGACGTGACACAGAGACATTCTCCCTACAGAACAACCAATACCAACTGGATGATCTCAGTCACCTATCTCCCAGAACGTACTGACGAACGCGCTTATATGAAGTTCACATATAATTTATGAACTTACGAAATTTCCTTTACTTGGCTCCATGGATCATAATCAATCATTTTTTAATGAATTTACTATTTTAGACCATCATTGCTCTTGGATACACACCCTGGCGGTACACCTCTGCTTAGTGGTTTAACTTTCGCAACCTCCCTGCTTCTAATTCACCGGTGTGACCGTTGTTTTTCCACCGATGTTTCTACCACATGTCCTACTTTCTCTAAGGATTCACTCATTTGTTGAGTGTTTCTCCGATCTGAATGATTCAACCAAGCTTGATTCACCTCCTCCTGTTTAAATCGCATACAAGCATGCAACAACTACATAGCTGCCGTGCGGATGGTTGAAGCACGCTTTGTCAAGCGCCAAGCAGCATAGTCATCAATCGCCCCTTTAGAATAACGCAAGTTGTGGTCACACGCTAAAAGCATTATCCCATAAGTTCTGCTTCCCCAATTTACCATCCATTGGTGACCCATCTGGTGGTTTAGTGTGCGATTCGCTTGAAAAAGCATTCGTATTTACCTCCTAGTTTGTTTTTAACTCCGTCCTTGACTCCACATACCCTCCACAACAGACCACCTTTAGGCACCTTTAATTTTCATCAGAAATGCTCTTAACCTTGGACGCACCGAAGACATCGGGACTTGATGAGCATGGTTCATCATCCTAATATGTGTGTCAAAGCAACACCCTTCTAGGACATTGATTCTTTTCATCCCCCGATTCGGGAAACTCTCAACCTCCTGGGAAAAATCAATATGCTTCACATTCCCGAACCGGGCTATCCCTCAGACACTAATAACTATCGTCCAATCTCACATTAGTTATCTTAGAAGCCAATGGAATCGATCATAAATGATCTACACCGCCCTCACTTGGGGCACAGTACGTTTTCTTGTGTTCATCGGTATGGTTTTATATTTAGTAATTTTGTGTAAGATCTTCTGGTGCATGTTTTTCATACGTGCTCGGGGATATCTGACAGTTATGGAGAAACCCATACGATGTAGCTAGGTATATCGAAGATATTCAAGTATACCCAGGACGCGGATCAGGTGGCTGCATTATCAAAGACCTGGGTGTGGTGTCTTAGGAACAGTTTGCTCTGGACAGCAAGTTTTCCCAGAGATCCTTTGATCTTTGTCAAGGTAGACCGGCAAGGTTTCCTTCTATACCCGTTTACCCTAGGAGCCCCTTAACGTTACGCAGTATCCTCCACGTTTCCCTGATTATCATAAAAATGACCTTCCCTTATCTACTAATACCATGCACATTTGTGACGATTATGCCACTCCATACGGTCAGGAGTCATTTTTACACGAAAAGGTATACGCGTTCTCGGGAGTAGGTAGTCTGTACCAATCATATATGATCATTTCATATTACTTTCTAAAAAAGACATCGACTTTGTGGATGGTATCACTTGTTAAACGGGAGAGCAGTCAACATGGAGAGAGAGAGAGAGGGACACCGCGAAAACGTAAATATACACTCAAAATTGTGGATAAATTGAGTAAGGTTTGCTCGAAGGGAAGGTTTTGAGTGGTAGTCAAACAAAAGTATAAAATCAGACCGGGTTGAGACAGACTTGACTAGTAGAACGTCATGTGCATATTTTGCGAACATATGAGGTGGGAGAACAGGAAAAAGTCTAATGCAAATTGTGAATGCATGGCGAATGTGGAAGGACGGACAACATTAATTCCTATCCAATTTTGTTCATTGAAAAGCAATCTATTTTCCTCAAAGTAAGAGTATCCGGAATAAAGAAAACGAATAGGCGGAGAACAGATGATAATGAACTGAAACGAATTCCGAATCCTACAGGGAAATATAGAAGAAATAGATTTCACAGGGTAGTCTTGAAACTCGGTGATGAGGAAAACGACAACGAAGAACAACACGTCCAATGTGATCTTGACGATGCAAACTGAAGAGGATCGTGTGGAACATTCAGATAAGCGAGCAGTACAATAGTTGAAGTACCCACCGGTCATGAATTAAGAATCACGTATCAAAAATCACGGACTGAATCACTGAATCATGCTTGCACTTGTAGAACAGTATCCACGCAACAGAGACTCAATGAAAAGGCCTCAGGAATAACAGTTCATTTATTGGAAGAAATCGTGGGGTTTAAATAATATGTGCAAAAGAAGTTCCTTGGTCGTCCAGGCATCTATCAATCACGTTCTTGTATTCCTGGCGACGTACACCTTCTGTCTGGACCGCACGGCTTCTGATTGGCCGGTACAATCGGCCTATACTCCGTAATCTAGGAGCCGTAACGAGTAAGCGCTTTGATGGCGTCACCTGAGATGCTTGACACATCACAGTTGTACGGAAATTGTAATGTGTCGTACCGTGGTTTGCGTCATCCCGCAAGCCAGGATCACCACAAACAGACCACTAAGGATACCCGTTTGGCCAGGGTAATCCCTAACAAATTTATTGTAGCAGAACAAACAGGTTTAAGTAAATTTGCTGAGACACAAAGTATAATACCAGCATTAGGCGCGCAAAGACCGCAAAGACGTTTCATAACGAAAGTGGAAAACGGTGTGGTCAGTTACCCGCTGGCCTAGTGGGTAGTAGGCTTGCATTCTGCCTGTGAAATCCTGGGTTCAGCCCCTCCCCATTGGGTCGACGAAATAGCACGGTTAATGACACCCACCCAGGTCAAAAGGCTGTCCAGTACTTCACAAGCTTTTCAGTTCACGTTTCATTTGAAGACAACGCATGTAAATCTGCATTAATTAGACTTGACATGTACATTCATCAATTTATTGACGGGAGATGGCAGAAACGCATTGAAATAGAATCATGCCGGATAGGTGTAGGAGATGAACTAGCACAGACAACAGCAGACCTCGGCTTGGAGGTTTGGAGTGGTTTGAAAACTGCAGCGAAAGGGGCACCTATGGAACCATCTGAT